GTTACATTATAAACTTTCAATGATAGTTGTGACTTCCGATGAAGAGACTAAAAGAAATGTAGAAGAACTAATGCTTCAAAATAACAGAAAATAATCGAAACAAAAAGAAAGACCAGTAATCGATAAAAACTCTTAACCAAACTGTTTATTTCTTGTCAAATTTTCAAAATTATTTCACGATTTCAACAGCACTTTAGAGTTTAGAGCACTCAACCTTATAATATAACAATCTGCCGCTGTTGACTGAAAATGATGATGGTGAACACTTTTGAAGTTTCATTTACCCCTCCTTCACTCCAATCCAAGAAAAAAACGCTGCTTTAGAAAATTATTGATTAAAGGATACAGAAAAATAATAATTTGTTAGCTGTTTTTAATCACTATAGATGTTCACTTTTTTTAGTTTTAAAAACTACTGCGAAGACCGACATGGCTTTTCTTGCAGTGAAGCTTAAAGACCATACGATACACATGGATTTCAGCCATAATTAAAATGGCGCAATTTTCCTGGTACCAGCTAAGCCGGTAAATTTAATATACAAGTAATTCAGCTGAAGGAAGCAACAGTTACTGAATATTTAAGGCACTGGCCAACGATTAGGTAGATGAAATTTTGAAACTTAAGGTTGCATATAATTTAAAAGAGGAAAAGCTACAAAGTGGAAGGCATTTAGAACTTCACTCACTCTTCACCAAAAAATCATTAAGCTGTTGAATTACCGGTATAATTACCGGTAATGAAAAACTTGCCAGATTTTTTTTTTACTTTTTACAAATTATTTTCGTTTTACTGAACCACCGTCATTCTCATACAATGATTTCATTTATAGCTGTAAGCAGTGATTGAATTTTCGTATCAAACTTTTAAGGAAACAGTCGTTGCAGTAAGGAAAATCTCCCCGTTTTTTAAATTCTATAGAATTTTTTACCGCCGTTTTTCAAAGTTTGAAGCTGTTAAAACTGAGATGCATTATTATATATAAAAAAGACTTAAAGGTTTTTTGGAGTGTAAAAGTCACAAATTTTCACAGCTTTAGCAGTCTATGATTCCTGAAGCTGTTAATTTGTCTGTTGTCTCGACTACATTTCCCACAGTTTTTTGACCGGTTTCGAACACTTGCCAGTTGGCAGCGTTCATAAAAACCAGGTTGGCTAAAAGTTCTAAACTGTATCTTAACAAAGTACTGCCTCTAGAAAATTCGAATTAATGGAGCTGGTGTTCTACTGCAGATTTTCTGAGAGGTTACCTTCGTAGTTTTTTTGGGCGGCCTTCTTGGCTCAACTGCTTCTGATTCTATGCTCTTAATTTTACTGCCACAGAGGCAAATTTTTCTACTTGCTGATGGCAGTAAACTATGGGTTTTTTAATAATTTTAATGAGAATTCAGCAATTAATTTAATTTCACTAAAAATGAAGATAAAAGTTCTAGTACCAAATGACTAAGCGTTATGTATCCTGATTATAAAATTTTAGATTTAATAGAAATTTTTAAAGCACACTAAATTATCAGCTGACTGCACTTCATACTGGCACTACC